TGATAGAAGACAGACTACATCCTTCGATCTTTCAAACAGATACTGTATATACTGGGAATGAATTCGTGTGGTTCTGTTGAATGAATGAGCTGCTCCTGCATATATAAAAAATGTAGTCACGGACTTAGTCACGGATTTGTCCGTCACTAAGCAAAACCGTGTCCATTACGCGTCCGATCCGTGTTAATGACATGTAAATGACGTGTTAATCAAAGTAGTCACGGACATAGTCACGGACATGGCCGTGACTAAATTTATCCGTACATAATACCGTTGCGGATTGATTTATGGGAGATGAAAAATTATTTTTTAAATTTAGTCACGGCTGTAGTCACGGATGTGGCCGTGACTATGTCGCCGGAGTAAAACAAGCCAGGTCGGAAAAACAAACGGGCAATCGGAGGATGTTAGTCACGGACAAATGTCCGTGACTACGCGTAGTCACGGCTGTAGTCACGGTCAAATCCGTGACTAATTTTTTTTTTGAATTTTCGTGAATATTCCGTGACTAGTCCGTGACTAGGCTAGTCACGGACCAAATCCGTGACTACGGTCCGTGACTAAACGAGTGTTTTTTTGTAGTGATCTTTTAATAACAATGAAACTGATTGAATGAGATACTTCAATTGAAATTTATGAAATTCTGTCCGATTTAGCTGGAATAGCTTACGGTGACTTATGAAAAAATTATATTTAAAATATTTTTATTGATAATATAAAGAAAAATAGTTGGAATTGCCTTTTACAATATATTCAGTCAATTCAAAGAAGGTGGTATTTAAGAGAGTTAATTGTTTCTTAAAATAGAAATGTGAATTTTAATATGAGATGTCTAAAAAATGAAAGTGAAAGCCTTAAGTGTTGGGAAAAGGAGTAATTACACTTCATAATATAAAGTGTTATATTGTCTTTATAATTTATGTTGGTTTTCTTTTTAATCTATCACCAATGATAACAACCCTACTTGACATGGAAATAACCTGGCTCATAGATTGTCTCTAATTGTTTCTCATGTTATTCAAAAAGTATTTTATTTTATTTTTGGTAAGGTTTTTATTACCTTCGTCCCAATTCGATGTTCTCAGTTCCTATTCACTTGGTCAACAAAAATCACTTTTAATATCTTACTTTATATATCAAACTTTTATCAAATTTGGTTCTGGTTTTTGCGACATTGTAAAACTTTTAATGTAGTTTATGAATTTGTAATATTTTTTCCCTAAAAATAATTTGAGTGCGGACATGGACTCGTTTGCTTTATCATCAATCAAGCATCGTAAAGCGCAACAGGAACATCAAACTGGGACGGAAGGAGTAATGTATATTTTTAAAATGTGAATACATTATTTTAATATAGTTTTACATTATTTTAACTCTCATATTAGGCTAAAAAATTATAAAAGGACAAATTTAAATATTTCTAATAGATGTATGCAACCGACAATAACTTATTTTATATGTAGAGTGATTTCGGAATCAGAGATCGACTAAAAATATAGAGTCCATATTATAGGGATGAAAAAACATTTTGCACAGACTTAAGATAAAGTGTGATTGTCATATTTATAGGGTCTAAAACGTTTTTAAGCTTAAATTAATTTTATTGGATAATTCAAAAAAACGAGTTTAACTCTTGGAATGGAACCCGATTCTCTTTTCATCAGAGTGAGATCAAAACTTAATTTATATCATCCCATAGAACTTTTCGAAATCAAAGTGAGATAAAAAATTAATTTACATCTTACCATATAACTATTGGATCGATTTTGGAGGATTCTTCATAGCTAGAGAGTGTCATCCCAATAATACCGAGTATTATGATATCAATATTACGTGGTAGTATGTTATCTACTTGGTATATTTATAAAAAAACTAACTAAAAGCAATAGTTGTATCTAAACTATCTAATTATACTGGAGTACTAATTGTATATAGTTCCTAGTGCCTATGTGCATCATCTGACAAGTGCAGAAATTCCCACCCAAATGTCAGAGTCCGCAACTCAACTCCCGTATTTTCATCCGGAAAATAGAACTTTGGTATTTTGGGAAGGGGAACACAAAAGCCCCGCTTATCCGTCCTTTTCTCCTATTTCTGATGTACTCCGTGTGTTGTATTTTGGAATCAATGATGTAGAACTGGCCAACTGGGAACCGGAGTTTCTGCGCCTTTAGCAGCCGGATAGGGTATCCGGTCATTTTAGGCCGGAAAATGCTATGTGTACACAGCATTGTACACACCACCCTACACATCATAAAAAGACCCACACCCTCTTTCTAACCCACCCCACTTTTGAATTAATCCACCCCACTCCCTTTCTCCTCTCCCCTTTATTCCCAAACGAAAATGCTTGTGCAGATAACAAATTGTCTGTCCAATTTTTTTCATTTGTTTGTCATCCCTTGTCTCTCTCAACGAGCCGCAGGAAGCGAGTAAGACGTATGGCGGCGGCGGCGACGACGACGAACTTGGCCTGGGCTGGAATCAAGGGAGGATATATTCGGGCCGAGTTCCGGGGACACGCCATCTGCGATGGAAGCTTTCTCCCTGCCCTTTCTATGCGGTAAGCTCTCCTTCTCCCTTTCTTTATTTTCTTTTCATTCTTCTGCAACAACTCCTCTCTTTTTTCCTCTTTTTTTTCATTCTTCTCCAACTCCACATCCATTCAATTTTTATTCAACTATACTTTTTCATTTTTATGCCTCTAAGATGTTTGTTGAAATGCTCAAATGAACTCTTTTATTTATAACCATGATTTTTTTGTATTCTTTCCTTTTTTCTAAAAATATATTTGTATGCTTGATGGGTTTGTGCCTATAAGGTGTTTGTTGAAATGTTTCAATGAAATATTTCATTCATATCCATGAATTTTTTGTGTTTTTCTCTTTTTTTTTTGTTAATGTGTTTGTGTTTGATATTGGTTTAACTGTTTTTGACTATTTAATTGAATATTATGATTCTTTGTTTGTTATTAAGATACTAGTCTACTAAGTGTTGTTAATATTTTCCAGAGATGTCTGTGTAGTGTGTTCTTATATGTTTGTCCATTTTTTAGTTGTCTATATAGTTTTCCTGAAATGTCTGTGTAGTTTGTTGTTATACGTTTGTGGATTTTCTAGTTGTTTTTATGGTTTTCCGGAGATGTTTGTATAGTGTGTTGTTATATGTTTGTGCATTTATTAGTTGTCTATATAGTTTTCCTGAAATGTCTGTGTAGTTTGTTGTTATACATTGTGCATTTATTACTCTATGCAAAATGTAAAAAAAGCACAAACGTATAACAACAAACTACACAGACATTTCAGGAAAACTATATAGACAACTAATAAATGCACAAACATATAACAACACACTATACAAACATCTCCGGAAAACCATAAAAACAACTAGAAAATCCACAAACGTATAACAACAAACTACACAGACATTTCAGGAAAACTATATAGACAACTAAAAAATGGACAAACATATAAGAACACACTACACAGACATCTCTGGAAAATATTAACAACACTTAGTAGACTAGTATCTTAATAACAAACAAAGAATCATAATATTCAATTAAATAGTCAAAAACAGTTAAACCAATATCAAACACAAACACATTAACAAAAAAAAAAGAGAAAAACACAAAAAATTCATGGATATGAATGAAATATTTCATTGAAACATTTCAACAAACACCTTATAGGCACAAACCCATCAAGCATACAAATATATTTTTAGAAAAAAGGAAAGAATACAAAAAAATCATGGTTATAAATAAAAGAGTTCATTTGAGCATTTCAACAAACATCTTAGAGGCATAAAAATGAAAAAGTATAGTTGAATAAAAATTGAATGGATGTGGAGTTGGAGAAGAATGAAAAAAAAGAGGAAAAAAGAGAGGAGTTGTTGCAGAAGAATGAAAAGAAAATAAAGAAAGGGAGAAGGAGAGCTTACCGCATAGAAAGGGCAGGGAGAAAGCTTCCATCGCAGATGGCGTGTCCCCGGGACTCGGCCCGAATATATCCTCCCTTGATTCCAGCCCAGGCCAAGTTCGTCGTTGTCGCCGCCGCCTCCATACGTCTTACTCGCTTCCTGTCGCTCGTTGAGAGAGATAAGGGATGACAAACAAATGAACAAATTGGACAGACAATTTGTTATCTGCACAGAAATTTTCGTTTGGGAATAAAGGGGAGAGAAAGGGAGTGAGGTGGATTAATTCAAAAGTGGGGTGGGTTAGAAAGAGGGGGTGAGTCTTTTTGTGATGTGTAGGGTGGTGTGTACAATGTTGTGTACACATAGCATTTTCCTTTTAGGCCTTCAGATCCATTTTCACTCCATCTCAAATCCTTCTTCTCCGGCCTCTTCTTCGTTGGAATGAAGAAACAATATAATATCCCCTGGTTCCTATCATACACAAATAATTTCGAAAAACACAAATATGGAAAGAGCTTTTAGAGGTCAATTTTCGGATAAATACAATCACATTATATTGAAATTAAAATACTCCGCAGTAATATTTTATGTCTAAACGACCAAGACTCAATCACTCGAGATCATATTCAACAACTTCATCAAGAAAATACTTACCGCTTTCAACTTTTGACCAACCAAATGTACGTACCCGCCCCCAAAAAATATACGGAGTAAAAAGATTGGCATCAACCATATTATCGTTATTCTTACTTCCTCAGTCTTTTATACGAGTAACTTTTTAAATTTCATTGATAGTTAATTTTTCCATAAGAAAGATAAATAATAAACTAATTGCTTATAAACACAATGACAAATTTTTAGGGACAATTGAAAAAAGAAATATGATAAAATTATAACAGACCGAAAATCTTAATTAAGTTATAATATCAACACAACCCGTCCAATAATTAGTGGATTATATTGCCAATAAAAAGTCAATTTAAAAACAAATTCCTATTCGCAAACAATGATGAGGAACTTGTACCACTTCATATAGGGGTGTGCACCAATTGGTTCAAGTCTGTAGAATTTCACAGTAGATCATCCATGTTTACAGAAGAAGAAACTAGTATGAATGAAGAAGGAGAGAACTGAACTTCGATTATTGGAGAAATGAAAGATACAGAGTTCGCACATTAAAAAGGAGCTACAAATTAATTTGTAACTAACTAACTGTATGAAAGATTCTAGCTACTTCTATTTATTTCTTCTGTATGTTGACGTGTGCATGTATCCTCTTTGTTGACTTTTATCTGTGAGCTCCAATACCCCCCCTCAAGAGGAGAGTACAAATTTTGTACACTCATCTTGGATAATAAGAAATGAAATGTATCTTTGCCTAATGGTTTGGTAAGGATGTCTGCCAATTGAAAACGACTTGGAACATAAAGAGTGTGAATGACACCAGATTGGATCCACTCTCTTATGAAGTGACAGTCTATTTCCACATGCTTGATTCTTTCATGATGAATAGGATTTGCTGCTAAGGCTAGAGCAGATTTACTGTCACAATATATAGTAGCAGATGAAATAGGAAGCTTGAAACTCTTGAAGAGCTGCATTAACCCCAGAATTTCTGCAACTGAAGTAGCAAGTGCTCTATATTCAGCTTCAGCAGAGCTTCTGGAAACTGTATTTTGCTTCTTGGATTTCCAAGAAATGAGTGAGTTGCCTAGACATATGCAATAACCTGTGACTAATCTTCTGGTATCAACACAGCTTGCCCAGTCAGCGTCTGAAAAGCCTTTGAGCTGTAAATTGGAAGTAGAGGAATATAATAAGCCTTGCCCTATAGAACCTTTCAAATATCTGAGAATTCTGTGTGTCACGCCCCGGACCTCCCCGGACACGTCAACAACCCGCCGTACAATACGAATAGTCAACCGCAGTCCAACACATTCATATTATACAAGGCGTCTCGAATATCATTCACACGTAAGCCATCCATAAACAACATAACAAGCAATCGAATACGTAGCGGAAAACATAGTTTGAAAACAAATGCCACACGTGGCTAACATGAGCACGCAGGCTCTATAGTAAAATATTCATGAGCATGTTTATTAATGTTTAAAAACCGAATGGAGGAAGCACGAACCAAGTCTTCCCTCCTAGATGATCTCTCAAGCAACGAGCACAGGAAACAAGCTCTAGCCTCAACCTGAAAAATGGTGGTGGGACGCCCCCTAAGGGGTCAGCACTCTATAGGGCTATAAAGTGCTGGTGTGGATGGCATCTAATAGATATACAACAAGTATTTCAAACACAAGACCCTCAAATAGGGTGATAATATAATCTAGGCCGTAACCCCAAGTTACCCCTTTTTAAAATATACTTACTTTATATATAAAGTCAAGTAGTCGGCCCGTAGGCCCAAGGTTTGTTTATCAAACATAGCCCAAAACCCCGTGACCCCTAGTCACAACAATTCATATGGTTCAACCCTAACACATATATTTGCATTCTCGAGTCCAACTCGACTACATCACCATGCACCTTAATTAACATAAGCTAACTACTCCACCGTGCATTTCTTGAGTCCAACTCAACTACATCACCATGCACAACAATCACCCCATCATGTCTACCCAATGCAATTCTATGAGCACGGCTCAAGTACATCCCCTTGCATTGGCATAGACCCCAATTCCTAAGCACTCGCTATGCCTAGAATTGTAATATCAATAATCTATTGTGGGACATCCTTACGGACTGCCCAACCATGGTCTTAGCATCACATTACATCAATTTAGTCACTTGCATCACAATCAAGTTCATCAATTACAATCAAATCCTTAGATTCAATTCCTCAACAATTACAACAATCATTAACTAGTATTTCAATACTATTAAGATTATTCTTATCCATCATATATTTCATATGTAAAACCCTACATATTTAGAGATATGTAGTAGCAACTTAATCATTCAATGTAATACATAAATAATCATCTATGTATCTACACAATTCACACATGAGTAAAATGCCTATTTCACACAATAGTTCATTTAACTCCATTTTTATCAATACTTTACCAAATCATTTCCCATTTCATTCTTTGGAAAATCGATCAATATTCCATCAATAAGTTATCATCATAATCCATGGAAAACATTATTTAGGCATTTAGGTAATCTTATGCTTAACCTACAAGTTGTAAGCAACTAGATGTCGATCTTTACCTCAATTGAGCTTTAAAACTTTCCTTCTCAATCCAATGACCAAAGCCTCGGCCAAGGAAGCTTGAGAACTGATTCCTTGCTTAGAAATGAGTGTTAAACAGCCTCCTCAAAGTGATAGTTCAACCCCTAAACGTTGGTACGAAAACAGCCCCTAGAATGGGTGTTTTCCGGCTAACTCGTTTCCTAGTTTTCCAAGATTTGCTCTAGGTTAGTATTTAACCTTTACATAAATAACAACAACTTTTTAAGGACCTATTACACACTTGGATTAGTGTATAATAGTTCCACCAATCGTTCATATCATTTGGAAAATGAAAGGAAAGGTTTTGGGGTTAACAACTCACTTTAGAAGAGTAAATCCGTTTCTGCGCGGTTGTGTTTTGCTCGGACGATTTGGAAGCCTTCCACTACTCGGATTGAAGCAAACCAGACCTTCACGGATTCCTCGTCTTGAGAGCTTTCTCTTGGTATCTCACACGCCTTAATTGGATTGGTATAACTCGAGATATCAACCAAACAGCCTCAGCACTCTCACAGCTCGAGTTTACAGACCACCGCTCACTCCAGCTCGATTTTTGTAAGATAACCCTCTCCCCTCGAACAGAGACCACTCACATATGAAAATAGACTTCAAAGGCTATCCAAGGACACCTCATTCACCTTGTTTGGCCGAGTATAACATCACTCATGGAGGGAGACAACCAGCACCATCCTTTTGTGCGAAAATAGACTAGGTGGGGTTCCCTCTTGTTTCCTTTGTCAAGTCCAGCCCCTAGAGTCAGCTATGGCAGTCTCCTAACATTATTTTTCTTGTCTTGCAGGTGGAAAAGAAGGGATGGGGCGCAGCATGTTGTTCCCCAATTATTTTTGGGAGCAAAATATTAATCAATACATCAAAAAATGGAAGAATGGGTCCTATTGTTTTATCTTTTGTCAAAGATGTCTTTTTGTACTCATCCTAATTTATTTAGAACAAGTCAACTTCCTACATCTCATTATTGATCTCCAATATGTGTAGGCTCATCTCAATAATTTACTTGATGGATATTATAGAAGGAAAAATCCTACTCCCATTATTTAACTCAATAATGTCAAGGATGGGATCATAGGCATTTGTATCCACCACAAATCATCCTATCACTTATTTTGACATTTTTCATCCATATTATTGGACTACCAGCCGTGTGGGTCACCCCCGAGTGGGCCTACGACGCCATTCTCGAATACTTGCTATTTTAGCGGGTTGAGCCCAAAATAATATCTAGGCCGCCCGCCCTTCCTCAACTTGTTTTGAAACATTATGTATCTAGCCCGACACTAATATACGAGTTCGAACGGTATAATAATCGATCATTAATTACGTAAAAACACCAATCATTTACAATTGTTTGGGAATCAGAAATTCAATACATAAACTTTGAATTTTTAAATTGAATTTTCAAGGACTTTCGGGTGCGGTGTCACACTGTGAGCAGTTCTTATCACTTTGATATGAATTGAGTACTGAGTTTGAACTAATTTATGGAATGATATAAGATGTTGTTTAGTTTCAGATTTGTGTTTCATTAAGCAACACCAAACAACTCTTGAAAAATCATCTACGATGGTTAAGAAATATTGAAAACCATCATATGTAGGAATAGAGAAAGGTCCCCAAACATCACAGTGAATGAGATCAAAGATATGAGAAGATTTTATTGAACTTTGGGAGAACTGCAATCTGTGTTGCTTTGCCATAGGACAAATATTACAACTTTTATTGTCTAAAGAGGAAAAATGTAAAACATTCTTTAGAACTTGAAGCTTAGCATCAGATGCATGACCAAGTCTTTGGTGCCATATGCAAGAAGAAACATTGTGAGATGAGAATGAAGTATTTGCTGCAGACTCTTTCTTTTGAGGATTCAATATGTACAGTCCTTTGATCAACTCAGCAGTGCCAATCTTCAATTTCAAATTTTTGTCCTGTAAGACACATTCATTTGTAGAGAAAATGAGGTATAGAGATGTTTCAGATAATAGTCTACTCACAGAAAGTAGATTAACACTGAAATTGGGAACATATAAAACTCTTGTCAATATAATATTTAGAAAAAGCTCAACTGTCCCAATATGAGTAACAGAAGCTTTTGATCCATCAGGTAAATGAACAAAGAGGTTTGAAACAGGGTTTGAAGAGTTAAAAAGGGATATATTGCTGATCATATGATCAGTAGCACCTGTGTCAAGAATCCAGGAAGAGCAAGTGGGGAGTATGGTGTTGACACTAATCATAGATGTGTAAAAGCTGAGAAAACTACCTGTATTAGGTGCTTGGTTAGAGTTTAAGGGAGTGAGAGAAGTGTTTTGAGAGCTAGCAAGGTTATGGATCAAGCTAAGCAGGTGAAGATATTGATCCTGAGTCACCATTGAACTTGATTTATTGTCAACAACCTGTGGAACACTTTCTATCTGAGTATTATAAGCAGTGATCTGTCCTGTTCTTTCTTGTTTTGCAGCATTGTTCTGTATCTGTTTTCCCTTTGGTTTGTACCCAGGTGGAAATCCATGCAACCTATAGCACTTGTCAACAGTGTGATTAGTATATCCATAATGTGTACAAATAACTTTGTTCTCCTTCTTAAAATTGTTAGGTTTAAAACCTCTATTATGCATGATGTGATTAGCTGCAGGATCAAGCACAATCTGTTCATTCATATTCCCTTTACTCATCATAGCAATTGACTCCAACTGTAAACCATTCCCCATACTTCTTTGCATTTCATCTTGTAGAACATAGCTAAAAACCTGATTCAGACTAGGAAATGGCTTTATCACAAGAATCTGTCCTCTAATTCCAGCAAAAGTATCATTTAGGCTCATTAAGAACTTGATTGACATATTTCTTTCTTCCCTTTCTGTGATAGTTTTCAGGAAATCACATTTACAACCTTTAACAGCCCCGCATGTGCATGAAATAACAAGATTATATTGATTCAACTCTTTCCACAACGAATCAAGTTTATTGTAATAATCAGTAACATTCTGATTACCTTGAGTTGTTGTATAGATCTACTTTTGTAGATCAAAAATCCTGGGCAAATTACCTTGAGAGAAACGTTGACTCAATGTAGACCACATTAGTGCAGCACTTTCTTCATACAAAATGCATTGTGCTACATCTTTAGTGCAGGAATTCAGGATCCAGGACTGTGCCATAAGATCACACCTCTCCCAAGCTCCATGATTTTCATCATCCGAATTAGGTTTTGGAAGAGTTCCATCAACAATCTTCATTTTATTCTTTGCTCCAAGTGCAATCTTCATCGCTTTGCTCCAAGAATGATAGTTGTTTCCATTGAGCTGTGGATTAACCAGATTAGAATTAGGGTTATCTCCAGATCCTATATAATACGGACTGGATATATCTTCAAAGGACGATCGAGGCATGATTGAAAGATGATCTTGTTCGTCGTTTGCAGCTGGTGTTTAGGGTTCGAGCTCTGATACCATGTAGAATTTCACAGTAGATCATCCATGTTTACAGAAGAAGAAACTAGTATGAATGAAGGAGAGAACTGAACTTCATTATTGGAGAAATGAAAGATACAGAGTTCGCACATTAAAAAGGAGCTACAGATTAGTTTTTATATAGTAAAAGAAGCAAAACAGAATTTGTAACTAACTAACTGTATGAAAGATTCTAGCTACTTCTATTTATTTCTTCTGTATGTTGACGTGTGCATGTATCCTCTTTGTAGACTTTTATCTGTGAGCTCCAATAAAGTCGGAAAATTGAACTGGACCAGAAGAACCTGAATTGGATTGAAGCCCTAGCCACTCCGGTTTTCCATTTTTGACGAATTAAAATTCTGTTTTCTCGTCCGGTTCCATAAAAACCGAATTAATCTGGTTTGAATCGGATTAAGCCGGTTTTTTATATTTTAGAATATAATAATTATTACTTTAACGTAAAATAGCTATAAAATAACAAAAATAGAAATAATAACAATTTAAATAAAAATGAATGTAATACACGAAGTATAGTATTTTAATGTTATATTCATCTTTTTCTTCATTGTCTTGATAATAGAAATAACTTACATTTATTATTCTACACTTAACTCACTCCAATCTGTTCTCTTAAAAAGTCATAAATTATAGAAATCAGTTAAAATTAGTCATAACATTAATAATATTTCATACTCCATGCTTTAAAAAGATTAGTTGTATTTTTTATAAAAAAAAATTATAGAAATCAGTTTTTCGGTTCCTTTCTGGTTTGAACCGGTTAAACCGGTTCGGTTCCGGTAAAAATGGTAATATGTTTGGTCCAATTCCGGTTTCTATTTTTTGTAACACCAGTTATGGTCTGGCCCGGTTTTGAACCAATGCACAACCCTAACTTCATACTACATACATCGTATGTGAAAAGAAATACTCGCACAACTAGTAAAGTATCTCAAATATTATTTGTTGGGGTAATTGGCCCAATACAGTGTCGGCCCAATACCCCTAAATAAATGTTATCAGAAATCTAACAAGGTCTTAAAGCCTCTTGGTCAAGCTAGGGGCAACGCGTCCCGTGCGGCCCCATGTCTTTGGATGAATTGCATTGGCAGCCATGGAGCTCTTAGCCGGCTAGCTCAATTTTGGTGGGTGGGAAAACAAGGATTTTGGCGGGAAATGCATTTAATATACCATATATGCAAGATTTTGTGTTTCGAGGATTGGTCATTCAAGATCCTCCACATCATTACTACCACCTACACCATGGTAGTATAAATAGTACAATGTATATGTAGCATTTTTTTCATTGTTAGGGATTGACAACCCACACTTGTACTCTCTAGCTTTAGCCTTTCTCTCTACTTCTTCTGTAATCACCACTTAGATTAGAGGCTCGGCGCTCGGCTTGGTAGGGTGTGTTGTACTTGTTCTAAGTTCTTGATAGACCTCTACCTGTCCTTTTACTTCTGCTAAAGTATTTGTGCCCTAAAAGAGTTAACTAATTCACTTGAATATACCTAACTCTCTAAAATATCCAAAGAAAGCCCAATGGGAAGTGTTGGGCCTTTGGACCTTGAGGAATAAACTTCAACATTATCCATGGCTCAAAACGAGGAACTTAATACAAGGATTCAATAATACTAAAAAGGTAATATTCCATCCCTGAGAAAAATCGAAATCATTCTAACAGTTATTTGAAATCATATAAGTTGAGTTTTGATCACACACTGAATCATTGAATCGACCAGACACTTAATTATTAGTAGGATGTAAGATTTACAATCAACTTGATGACATATCAACTCGATGACATATTGGGGGTGTTTGGTTAATGGCCTATCAACCATTTTTAACTAATTGAGGTGTTTGGTTAATTGGATTCTTCACCTAGCTTTTTGTTTCAAATAGTCAAAATTGAAAGTGCTATTAAAAGTGGCTTTTTGCTCTAAGCCGATTCAGAATATACATGGTATTCCAATCTTACCCGACCCGCGTCCATTCTCTTCTTCTTCCATTTAGACTTGGCTTTTCTTTATTTTTCCTTTACTACCCACCGCCACCGGCCATCTCCTTACTTTTATTTGCCTCCTCACAGTCTCACACACGTCAAAGAGAAAAACAAACCACCATTAAATTCAACTTTCCACCGAAGAGAACAACCATGCATGGACCAAGCATGC